TAGTACCCGAGACGGCGTGCGGTTTTAGTCGGTTCGAGTCCGACATGCCACCGACAGGTGGTATCCGAGGGGATTTCCGCACGGAAAAAAAAAAACAAAAGGGTAAAGAAGAGCAGTCGGGTCATCTGATGGTAAGTGGCTACCACCGCCCATAAACAACTCAATTGAACTGACACCCACGGGATGAACAGGGGTGGTAGCACTACGTATTCTTAATCCGTCACCACACGGAACTGTTAGCACACACAAATGAACATATTCAGTTTTCATATATAAAATACATATTAGTATTTGATATTTTTATCAACAAAATTATGTCAGTTGACGGTTTAAGTATCTCAAAGTGGCAAAAAATCGGTTGTCTGTAAAGTCGGTTTACTGACGATAGTAGAACGTGACAACGTCTTAAGAAAATACTGATGGAATGGTAGCATTTTTCAAAAATGTATTATTGTATACGAGTAGCAGCTGTCCACGCGGACGCATCGCTCACTCAAGTAGGAGAGAGACAGATGTCGAACGCTGCCGAACGCGGAGGCCGATTGTGCCTCTTTGTCACTCGTTCCGCGCTCTCGCTTGCACTTCACGCCTTAAATGGAACGCCTCAGAGCGAGGTAACGTCGCATGAGTCATGTTTTTGACGTGACAACGTCTTATAATTCGATGGAGCCGGCTGCACGCACGCACGAAAAATCGGTTGTCTGTAAAGTCGGTTTACTGACGATAGTAGTAGTAGTACTCGTGCGTGCAGCCGGCTCCATCGAATTATAAGACGTTGTCACGTCAAAAACTTTTAAACTGTGCACAAATTTTCACCGTCAAACAATTCCAGCTCAGCAACGTTGCAGTAAACTCTGTATGCCCTACTAAACCCTAATACAAAAATTTGTAATAAATATTAAACTCGGTGTCAACCTTATTAGGAATTCGATGCGCAATACCGTTCTGAAGGCATTCCTTCGATATTAAATTCCACCTGTTGTGTCCCGGCCCTCATCGTCCTCCGTCGAGGCTTTCCCTCCGTCATTTGCAGTGAGTGCGTTGTGAGGGGAAGACAAACAGTTAGAAAAATTACGGTAAGTGATGTTGGTTTCATATTACACATCACTCAAAACTGATTTGGTTTTTAACACGCTTTTATTCGCTATGTATGTAACAGAATCTTAGAATTTGAATTTGACCCACTTCAAAACGTCGAATTAAATGGAAATTTTGCACACTTATCAAGGACCGATGACAATTCGATAATTTAAATAGTTTTTTGTTGTGTGTTTATCCTGATCAGGACCTTCAGAATCAACGGCTTTTTCCATACCTAAAAATACCTACGGTAGTGTATTTTGCCACGTACTAAGGCATCTTCTTAAGCATATATATGTTGATTACGTATGTTAACGTAATGATTTTATTAATAAATTATCCCACCCAACTCCGCAAGAAGGAGTTTGTTTGTAACCGACTCCTTTGGGCGTGATTTTGACTGACTTTAAACGGTCAGATTTCGTTCAAAATTTGTAGATATTATTGAGGACCGATGACAATACACTAATTAAAAAATAAATAAAACAAATATTTGTTTTAAAAACTAAAAAACACGCTTTTTATAGAAAACAAAACTAAACAATCTATACAAATAAATAAAATTGGAGTGTCTGTTTGTAATATTAAAATAACCGCTTTTTACTAAATGCATATGTATGTTTACACGGTACATATGCCAAAATAACATTTTTTACAATTTTTGTCTGTCTGTCTGTTTGTTCCGGGTAATCTCTGGAATGGCTGGACCGATTTCGACCGGACTTTCACTGGCAGATAGCTGATGACATAAGGAGTAACTTAGGCTACTTTTTTTAGACTAGCTTCGACCCGCGGCGTTGCCCGCGGCTATAACAATAAACGCGGGTAACACCGCGGGTCTCAGCTAGTAGTAAATAAATTTTAATGAATTTGAAAAAAAGCGTTGGGTGCCTGTTGTCAATAGTAAAAAGCACCAAACGCTTTTTTTCAAATTTATTAAAAATTATTTTCGATTGTATAGTTTGGTTTTCTAGTGTTTTTTTTTTATATTTTTTATTTTTTAAATTAGTGTATTGTCTGTAGTTTAAATGGTTTGATTGATTTTGGCGTTAGATTCGACTTAATAGTCGTCTTGACTAATTTTAGAAAATCGTTTTAAATTATTCCATATGCATAGTACATTTCTTATATCCGGGCAATCAGACCTATTAAAAAATAAATAAAAAGGTTTAAGTTTGTTAAGACGGCGCCAAAACGCTGTTTCTATAATGGCGCCAAACATAAGACGTGTCTGACGTCACACACATGTTTCTAATCGGGAATAAAATAATTAATAGGGCGTGACATAGCTGAAGTATCAACGACTTGCTTTTGTCCGTAGCTCTGCCCGCGTGTATGTCGGTTTGGTGATGTGACGGATTAAGAATACGGAGTGTCACCACCTCTATTCATCCCGTGGGTGTCGTAAGAGCCGACTAAGGGAGCAAACTATGCAAGACAACAGCACTGCAAAGAATAGGAATACTTGAAACAAACCCTACTTATACCAACCCGTCTGGCCAGCGTGGTATAGTAGGCTAAAACCTCCTTTCTAAGGAGAGGCCTATGTCCAGCAGTGGACTGTTATAAGCTGTTGATGATGATGATGTATGTCGGTTATCGTGGTAAAAAGTAGCCTATGTCCTTCCTCAAGAAATAAAAGAACTCCATGCCATATTTTATTAGAAACAGTTCAGCGGTTTGGCCGTGAAAGCGTGACAGACAGACAGAGTTACTGGCTTTTATGTCGATTGTTGCGGTAAAAAGTAACCTATGTTACAGTGAAATTAGTCTCGAGAAAATTTTGCATATGTAGTGGTGTGTGGATTACTCAGATCTTAGAGCGCGTTTCCACTATATCGTTCTGGCCTATACAAAAATGTTTCGATATCCTAATATTACTATTTAATTTTATACTTATCCCTAGCAACACTGATTTTTGTTTTCAATAAAAACAAGTTTTTAGTTTAAATAAAAAGGTTTTGACTTTATAAAAAAAAGGTGTGTGTGCGATTCACACATGATAGAAGTGAAACTTCAAAGAGGAGAGACCGATATTTAAATTTTTGATATTTTTGGCCTAGGACGCACCGTTACCGAGATATTTCAATCTAAAGCAAAAAATCGTCACTTGATAGTGGAAAGTGGAAACACGCACAACCATACACTACTACAAATTTCTCCAAGCTAATTTACCTGTATGTTGGTTGTTGTGGTAAAAAGTAACCTATGTTACTCGCTGATAAGTTAGCTTTCTATTGGTGAAGGTTTTTTTTTTAAATCAAACCAAAACTCACTTTCAAATTCATTATATAATTATAAAAGTTTGGATTAGTAAAGATGTTTTGGAATTTCGAGCAATTTGCAATAAATATACATAAATTAGCCTGAAATAAAGTAAATTATGCTTTTTAATCCTATTATCTAATAATAATATTGACTATAATTTTAGCATATTTTCAATGATGTCAAATAGACTATAGTAAGAGTCACATTGGGTATAATATGAAAATGATAAAATTAACAACGCCATTTTGTAAATTTTAACTACCTACCTATATATTTACACGCGGTTGGGTTCTTCTACCAATAATTAGGTTGTTTTTATTAAAAGGGAAGTTTTGTTAAAAATATTATTACTACGTGTATATGTTTAATAATGTTAAATAACAAAAACCGGCAAATGTTTTAACTAATGCAGAGCTTCAAACTGTTACTAGTTGATCTTGACTGCCCTGTTGGTCTAGTAGTTAGTGACCCTGACTGCTATGCCAGAGGTCGTGGGTTCAATTCCCACCCAGGACAAATAATTGTGTGATGAGCACGGTCATTTTTTCTGTCTGGATGTAATTTATCTAAAAAATGTATGTATTTAAAAATATATAAGTATGTTTATCAGCAGTCTGGTTACTATAGCAAAGGATCTGCCTAGTTTGGCATCAGATGGCCGCATGTGAGGTATATTTTTAATATTATTTTATAGAAAACTGCTTCATAGCTCATATAAAGTGATAGTTAAAAGAATATTACTGGCTTCATAAAGACTGCAGTACTTCGTGAAATATTGCTATAAGCCTCAGATGCCTGTAATTTGATTATTACCTCTATAAGTACGATTGTTTTAGTTAAGTTTACATCACATCAACAGCCTTTAATGGTCCTCTGCTGGACATAAGCCTCTCCTTAGAAAGGAGGATTTGGCCTACTATACCACGCTGGCCAGACGGGTTGGTATAGGGTTTGTTTCAAGTTTTATTTCTCTTTGCAGTGGTGGTGTCCTGCGTTGTTTACATGCTACTGTCTAAAATCTTTGGGTAACTTTGAGCCTTCTTATAAGGTTCATCGTGAACCACCGCCAGAAGTCTTTACCGGCAAAAATCTATCGCCTAACGCAGTCTACTGCTGTAACAGACCTGAGTAACCTTTCCCTTCCGCTTCCAATCTAACTCAACTTCTCAGGCCGTCTGTACATCTAGCTGGGGGTGTCCTACCTTTCGTATACCGGTTCACGGTCTCTACTCTACGACACAAATATTATGCTCGCTCCCATCGGTCCTACGTCGACTGCCACAGCAGTCCTATTCTCATAATATAAAATCATATTCAAATATACTGGAAATATTGAAATTCTTTGTGTCTATATCAAGTGCTTGATTTACAGCATATAGTGTTTTAGAACAATTACAAACGTTGAATTATATTTTAAGAGAACAACAACGCAGAAACTGTGAGCATTTGATAAGAAAATCACCCCAGACAAGTCTTTACCAAATTTGACTTTTAATTTAAATACAAATTACGCACCCGTCTCATACTAATAAATATATCTTTATAACTGAAGGGGTAGACGTATTGAACGTCCACACAACCCAACTAATATTTTGCCGTAATTACTCGTACTTTTTGAGGAATATTTGGCCTGTATTACAGTTTTTCCCCAGATGCCGTTCTCTCGACCATCTCATCTCCCTTACCCGAATACCTGGAGCCGTTTCACCACAAATCGTGGCACACTCCGAATCCAAGACGTGACAGAAGACATGCAGCAGCAGGCAATGGACCTGTTGACCACATACTTCACTAGGGATGAGCCGCCCTGCAAATATATTGGTTTGTAGATGCTGTATAATCAGGGCTCACTTGCCCTGATATTGTTTCATCAACAGCCTTTAACAGTCCACTGCTGGACATAGGCATCTCCTTAGAAAGAAGGTTTGGCCAGAGACTATACCACGCTGGCCAGACTGTTTGAGTATAGGGTTTGTTTCAAGTTTTCCTTCTCTTTGCAGTGCTTTGCCCTGCGTAGTTTGCTCCCTAAGTCGGTTCTTACGACAACCACGGGATGTATAGGGGTGGTGACACTCCGTATTCTTAATCCGTCGCCACACGTATTTAGCTTACACTCCCCAAGCCATCCGTATAAGCTTTTGCCTTGCCGTCTAACCTAGCTTTCAATATACTCTAGATTTTCGCATCTGAAATTCCCAAAGTCTCACCGTGCTATTACTCCTGAAGTGATGCCACGGCATTTGTGCCGAAGGATGGCTCTCCCAAGGTTAAAGGTATCCAAGGTCTTATGGCGTTTAAATCTATCCTATAAGATACTAATTTATTTCTATGTTAATTGTGTGTTTCTTTTTAATTACTTAGGTTCAAAATTTCCTGACGTTCTACAGATGTGGAGTGCAGTTGAAGATTCAGCTGTTTTACCTCGACAGGTTTATTTTATTTTTGTTTTTATTTTATTGTTTTTTATTTATTTAAATTTAATTCTAATTCACAAAGACTTCCACAGGTAGAATTGATGTCTTTCATAACTCTACTCTAATCAATGGCTAGGAATTGGTGCAATATGTAATTCAGATCTTATCTTCGTCAGATCTAAGTCATAAATCAATTTGAATGACTTTGTGGAGGAACAACGGGTGTCATGTCCCTCAAAGACAAAGGGAGGATCCGCCGACCAGGCGAGGTGATCATGCCTAGCGGACCGCCCAACGGTTAATGGTCCAAAGTTGTATATTTGCCAATCGGCGTAAGAACTTTTTAAATCGCGATACAAGTCTAACACCATAACTAAAACCAACTTCTTTTTAAAATTTTTTGCATATAATTTGTGACAGAAATCCACAAGCATCCGACAGCGCTCTCAGAACTCCAGAAGCTGTGGCGCAACGCCCTCAAAGACAACATATCCATCGCGTGTGTGGTAGATGACGACTCACAGCCTCCTAACATCATTGGCCTCAACGTCCTCAATGTCGTATCTAAGGAGGACAAAGAGGAACCATTCCAGGTGAGAGTAGAATTGGAGATCATTTCAACTAAACAACTTTTCAACTCCAGTGGCAAGAACTGTTCTGTGTGGTGACATAAGAATACGGAGTCCCCACCCCTATTCGTCCCGTGGGTGTCGTAAGAGCTGACTAAGGGAGCAAACTACGCAAGACACCAGTACTGCAAAGAGAAGGAAATCTTGAAACAAACCCCATACCAACCCGCCTGACCAGCGTGGTATAGTAGGCCAAAAACTTTATTTCTAAGGAGAGGCCCATGTCCAGCAGTGTCCTACTAAATACTGTTGATGAGGTTCAATACAAATTCCTTCAACTACCACTGTCTCTATTTTGATCTAGTTTAAGGTTTCCCGGAAGAGGTTTTATGAGTATTTAGCATTAAGGCCGCCCTTTGTACATGATCTGTCCAATACATATATGTCTGAAACTTTTGTTGTAATTATGGGAAAAAATATAATGTATTATAATTATGATAGATAGGTAGCCATTTATCCTTTGAACAGAATAGGGGATTACACAGGGCTACATCAACTCACATTAAATTGTTTTAGCGGCATCTAGTGTAAATGAACCGAACTACATCGTAACTAACATAAGTAATAATCCTAGATGACGCGATAAGAATTTTCACGTGGTTTTTTTTTGCTGCCAAGTTCTTCTGACCAGGCCCTTCACATGATGGCACTGGGAGTCATGTGACTAAAACCATGTAATTTTATTACCTAAAAGAAGACTGTATATGTAGACATACCAGGCCATCTAAAACATAAATAGATCTTTTTTTATCTTGTTTTCAGACCGAAGATTCAGTTTGGGCGCAACTTTTCGGAGCAGTAGACCTTGTGGCAAGGAGTGTTGATATATTCTCTGAATACGGGGTGGACAAGTATCTGACTGCGTACGGTCTGGTGGTAGACCCTCAGTGGAGGGGATGTAACGTGGGCAAGGAACTTTTGTTGGCCAGGTATTGTAATGTTAAGTTTAACAATTTAACTATTATTTTTTTTATTTTGGAATTATTCAAAAGAAAATCCATAAAAGCCAATTTCAGGAACAATTTTCGACTTAACATTCATTCGAAAACTTAACAGACAGACAGTTTGGATCAGTTTTAATTTCATTAAAATCCAGATAAATAAAGTTTAATTTAGCTTTATTATATAAATCTATATTTAATCGGAAATCATTTTTTTGTCTACATACTTGTATTTTGCAAAATCTCGTTCTTGAACTAGAGCGTCGATTTTAATTTAATAAGATCTCTCGAACTCCTCGAATTCTTCAGTACTCGTAATGGAGATTATTCTTGAAGTGTTATTGGGGAATTTATCAGGCCTCGTACCGATATGCGATTGGCGTGAAGATATTGCGATGAAAGCATTTTTATATCAAAAGTTCTTCGTCTCTTTCGTTCTTTTATAATAAATAAACAGGTTTAAATAGTTTTTAAAAAATCTATCTATTAGACTGTTAAATATCCGACATTATGGTATACACGATAAGAAATCATATTCAATCCTTCGTAGTACTAACAATAAAAAAATTGAGCCGTAGCGGGATTGTTGACAGATGAAACATCAAAAGTAGGTATTTTGTAGAAATAATGAGTGTAAAAGGATAGCTTATGAAAGAAAATAATAAATAAATCATAATTAAAAATAGAATGTACGCATGGCAACGCGAAGCTGCTGCTGCTCCGCATAACATTTCACATATGTATACTATTGAATGGTGTGGCGACGCATGCCGTGGGGATAGGTTGCCACGGCAACGGCCGGTCTGACCCTCCACAATAGATGTTTCACATCAAAATCCTTTTTTTTTAAAGAAAACAACAATCTTTCTACAACAAAGCGGTGGACGGACGGACAGACAAACGGACAAAGGGTTCCTTGTTAGGACTACGGAATCCGAATCGGTATTTAAGAAACAGAAAACATAATATACGACGCAAAAGTTCACCTTAATGAACCACAATACAGAGCTTATGAAAGTTGAAAAATATTACAGGTAAACAGAATTTGTACACTGCTACGCACATGGTAGGTGTAATTAAACACTTCAGTGCAAAGTTTTTCTGTTCTAAGACTCTGACAGAGTACATTTAAATCTTTTTTATTAGTAATTCAAGTCTAGAGAATGTTTCTTTTGTCAAAATAAAGTTAATCGAACTATATACGTGGGTATCTTTGTCAGCAGTCTGGTAACATTTTTTTTTTTTATTTTTTTTAAAAAGACAACTCCCGCATTAGGAATATATCCTGTGTCGGGGGGACTTTACAAACATACATGAAACGGACACAAAGAACACCCAGACTCAGAACAACAATTTATGGATCACACAAAGTGTCGTCCCATGTGGGGATCGGACCCACAGCACTCGGCGTAGTAGTAAGCGGCGTGGCGACCGCTTAAACCACAACGCCATCCGTGCAGTCAAGTGCAGACATCAAACTACTTATGACTGGTTTAGGATCAGGCGGTCGTGTGTGAGATATGTCAGGTTATTATTATTTAGGTATCATTAAATAATGATATTTATTACCTTTATGCCACCGTCCGTCCGGTGGTTGTCATTAGGCTCGACCGGAATGATGCCACGGCTTCACAGAAAACGAGTGTTAAGCATTGCTTTTCACTGAGTGAGGTTATAGTAACCGAAACTCCCCTATTTCTGATTCTGGGAGGTTCTCATAAGGTGTTAATGTACCTGTGACTCTTGAGGGATCCTCTATTATTCACGTAAGGCTCGAAGGGGGGGAGGGGTTCCGAAAAAAAAAACGAAGTATCACAAGGAGTCGGGAGGGGATATAATAAGATATTATACTCTGCGATCGGCTGGATCGGCTACGTTGAGATGTAGCTTCACTCTGCATTCTCTATCGCATATATCATGAAGAGTGCTCCGAGGAATTGTTCGGACTAATACCAGCCGCAAATTTCCGCCATCGTTCCACACGGCAAAATTTTCATCCTTATTACCTGGATAGTTGGCGCTCCACTACTGTGCGCTTTTCGAGACACTTTTTGCCTCGCACAACCAATCTGAGGAACGGGTTATCGTCTGCGGTATTTCTGGACCGATACGACCTTCAAACCTTCAAGAAAAGAGCGTACTCCTTCTTAAAAGGCCGGCAACGCGTTTGTGACTCCTGAGTTGCAGATGTTCATGGCCGGCGATGGTCACTTTCCATCAGGTGAACCGTCTGCTCGTCTGCCCCCTCTAACCAAAAAAAAAGTCTCGTGTATTTACTTTTCGTAAAACGCACGATTTCAGTTTTCATTCATTTTATTTCCATGTACAAATATATGTTTTTTAAATGTTTCTTTTAAACCTTGCTTGATCATTTTTATATCAGCCAAAACAACCTGCTACTTAAAAGTCTGTCTGGAAATTTTTATCACGCTGCTTAATTTTCCAAAATTTAATTAGATTATACCTGTATTTAAAGATAATATTCTGAAAATGTTAATATAATTTGTACCCAAAAATTACACGTTTTTTTGTAATCTAAACCCTCACCACATCTCACCAGGGAGAGGGTTAAAAAAGTTGCTAAAAACATCACGTAATAAATGGACGAGTTAAGCGTATTAAGCATATATTATAGTTATTAGTTATTATTAGTTATTTTATTTTAGTTTGGGACTAGATGGCGTTGTGTGAATGTGGTAGAATATTATATTATATTATTATATTATTATTATATATAATCCGTGTGGTGACGCATTAAGAATACAGAATGTCATCACCCCTATTCATCCCGTGGGTGTCGTAAGAGTCGACTAAGGGAGAAAACTACGCAGGACAACAGCACTATAGAGAGAAGGAAAACTTGTCACAAACCCTATACCAACCCGTCCAGTACCGTCACCAGTCAATGTCAACAGTCCGTAACCAGTGTGGTATAGTAAGCCAAAACCTCCTTTCTAAGAAGAGGCCAATGTCCAGCAATCCTCACCTCCTCATATTACCCTATAACCTCATTAATATGATCACCTTATTTTATTTTATTAATCACTACAAATTATAATATCTTTACTATCATACTTAGTCATAATGTCTTAATTCAATCAAATTGTATCCAATTAGTACTCATTATATTTAAATGTTTTCCTTTTAATCAAGTTATTATGCAATCACTATCGTTCTCAGAATATTCTCAAACCAATATTTCTTTATAACCTGTAATACTAAACTATCATAATGATCGAATATTTACTCTATCAAACGGACACGCTGACAACACCCTTGGGCTGCGCTGAAAACCAGCGCTAGGTGCATTGCGCCTAGCATTATGCTGAGTCGTGGTCCATATTGGTACAGATGTATTTTATACATGTCTCTGTTGAAAATATGTAACAATCCTGTAAAATGTGCCAATTAAAGTATTTTTCTTTCTTCTTTCTTTCTTTCTATTAAAGGCTGTTGATGTTGATGAAGCGTGTCCATGGGCGGCAATAGTCACTTAGGTACTATCAGGTGACCCGTCTGCTAGTTTGCTGTGCCACAAAAAATAAAAAAAATACGAATGACATTTTCTATGTATCTAATAAAATTTGTTTTTTCATTGCAGGATTCCGCTCTGCAAAGCGCTGGATATCAAAGTGACAGCAACAGTTTTTACAGCTGCTGCATCGCAAACTGTTGCAAAAAAAGCCGGCTTCGAAGATTTATACGAAATAACTTACGAAGAACTGGCTACAAAAGGTTTTGTGTTCCCCAACATTGAGAAAGATACGAAGACATCGAAACTAATGGCATTGGTAATAAATTAAAACCACAGACGACGAAATTAAAAAAGAAATTGCACCAAAGATTAAAACGTATTTCGAGTTTTCTTGCCTATATATTTAAAAAAAAGTAAAAGAAAAATGTTGCTATTTAATTCTTTATTACCCAATTTAGTGGGAAATTGTAAACACTTATACAAGTAGAAAAATCATCGATATATTTTGTAAGTGTCTGTATCTAATATGCCAAAGAAAATGTACTTACTGTTTTTGCTTTTAATTAGAAATATAATACTTATATGTGGTGTGATAATAACTTGCTTTAAGCTTTAATAATACAACTAATATGAAAGAAAACATTACAAAGTTGTCTTTCATTCTTTGCTGTTAATATTAAAAATATAAAATTACCTGACCTGACTGACTGATTTATCAATGCAGAGCCTAAAACGTTGGGGCTTTTTTTTCTGATGGGGTGGAAAACCCCTTCGGATCTCTTGCCCCTCGGTGATTCAGGAGAGTATGTGGTAGTGCCAATAAAAATGACCCTGACAGCCGGCCTCAGGTGCCCTACTCTGGGATTATATAAGTATCTGTGTATAAATATGTTAATCTACCTTCCTTAAACCTATAAGTGTTATATCAGTCAAATTTTTTTTGTACTACGTTTTGTGACGTGGTGACGACAGGTTTTTGTTTATTCTTTCGCTTTAAAAGGCAATTATCTTGTTTCGGATTGATTTAAATTGTCGAGTGGAAAGTGTAAACAAAATTCTGAGCGTTTTTATTCTGTTTAACATCACTCTACCCCCTTTATACATTACATTGGGACTCACGAAAAGTTTTGTGAAGACGCTTGACAAAAACAGTGATGCTTTCCGGTATTTAAAAAATCTCTTTCCAAACATTACAGAGGGTATATTTGTTGGCCCACAAATCCTTAAAATTGTGAAAGGTTCTCAGTTTGAAAGCCTTTTATCTGTTAATGAAAAATCTGCTTGGAGTCATTCAAAATAGTTGTGGCATATTTTTATTGAAAAAAAAATCAAAAGATGAGAGTAAACACGTCATTAAAGTCCGGACATCGCAGTGGTGGCACTCAGGCGTTGGCTCCTTGCGGATCAGACACTGGTGATCACCTGCGTCAACCGGTATGATAGGGTTCCGTGATGCCTCTGTGGAGGAATGGGTGTCATGTCCCTCCAACACAAAGGGAGGATCCTCCGACCAGGCGAGGTGATCATGCCTGGCGGGCCGCGGCCCAACGGTTGATGTTGGGCAGTTGTATATATGCTAATCGGCGAGGGAATTCCTTATATCGCGATACAGGATTAGTAATTCTTATTAGTAATTCTTATTTTAGTAGTTACTCCGTAGTTCGGTGTCTTCATTGGATGGCGCTGTGGTATGTTTATGTGGGAGATGCCACACCTCTTAAGCCAATCTTCCATAACGGGTCTTAGCGCCGCGATAACGGCGTGCCCACACATCGAGAGACCCCTTCGTGCCTCGGAGATCACGTTAAGCCGTCGGTTCCGATTGCCATAGGAACATCTGTCCCAACATTTCATGTGTGGGAGCCTTAAAAAATTGGACGAGAGTCTCTCTACAGAACTTCGATATCGCCTGGTACTTGGGTTGTGGAATTTTGAACACAGCCGCTCCACGTAAAAATCAAAGTCAAGAAGTGTCGGAATAGACTGACAGCCGTCCTAACCTAGTTTTGCGAAAAGGTTCGGAGGAAGATATGAAGACTTTTAAAAGACAACTCCGGGGGACTTTACAAACATACATTTGACTGCAAGGATAGCGTTGAGGTTTCAGCGGTCGCCAGGCTGCTTCCTACTACGCTGGGTGTTATGGTTTCGACCCCCACATGGGACAACACTTTGTGTTATCCACAAATTGTTGTTCAGAGTCTAGGTGTTCTTTGTGTCCGTTTCATGTACGTTTGGAAAGAACCCCCGTGACACACAATAAATTCCTAGTGCGGGAGTTGTCTTTAAAAACATATATAACCTAAGCTTTTTGGGGAATAGGATCTCCAGGGATCAGCGTGAGACGCCTGAGCACATACCTGTTTCTGCGTGCCGACGGCTCACAAACCCGCCAAATAAGGGCGCTCGTGTTCTACCGTCGGCGATAGCATGGTCTGTCGCAAGATCTTGACTCCGTGGCAACCTCTACCAGGCCATCCTTGACACCCGACCTAATGCAGGCTGACGGGCGCTCCTTAGACGAGATTTGGGCGTAGTCAGAGAGCCACACCACACCAGACTAACACCCCCGGAACTAGCAACAGGCCAACCGGACCAAACCCAGTGACCCGCCTGTAGTGGCACACCGCTAAACAGGTTGCGGCCTGGAGAAGTAACCAACAAGAAGAACCACGGAACCTTTCTACATACTTAACATTTGGGCAAACAAGATTTTAAAGTACTGTAATTAGAGACATCTCTTGATAATAACTTGTACGTATAAAAGCATAATGTAGTTCAACTTGATGTTGACCTTTCTGCTTGCTACTGTAGTTATAACGATTGATCTATAGATGTCGCTAGCAGATAAAAATGTTCTAAGAAGTTTCTTGAGAGTAAAGTCAAAAGTGATTATTCAGGTTTATAAAATTGACACATTTTATTGTATTAAAAAAAATGGTTGAGATTCCATTTACTTCGCAATTGTAGGAGTTAGGGAGTTTGTACTGGCAAGTATAAAAGTAAAATGGCGTCGCGTCCAATTGCCATTATCTGTCAAACGGTTGTTGACTTTTCGGGGTGCATCTCTTTCGTTCGCACATCTATTAATTAAAAAATAATTAAAAATATTAATTATGTATGTACTAAACTTAAATATTAAAAAAACTATTGTGCAATTATAATAAAATAAAAATATAAGACCACTATTGCATCGAAAACACAATTCTTTCGTCGCGAAAATTGTTTTCATTTTACATCCTGTTTTGAAAACGTACATTTTCTGTTCGCGTTGTTTTTATTTTCTATTCCTCGTATCGGCCGTGGTGTGGTAGTGGGTGAAAGTGAAAAAAAAAACAAAGTTGAACAAACAAAGTGTCTGTGGTTTTGTTAATTTATGGTGTTGTGACAACATGGATTTTGTGGGATAGCTGGACCCCCTACATAGAAGGTAAAAAAAATATTTAAAACATTAGACATCTTGTTTATTGTTTTTCTCGCTTTTTTAATGTTTAAATTTTACCATGTTTGAATGTAATACATATTTGTCTACTTAAATATTAGCATAGTTTTATGTAGAGACTACTTACTATTCTAGTTTAAAATGATACGTAGTTTATAATTGCACTTTAATTCACCTCTTTTGGGAGTTAAGTAATTTTGTATTGCAGAGTTTAGTCTATTTAAACCCTTTTATAATAATATTATTGTGTAATTAATATAAAACAATTATAGTACAATTATTTCACAGCTGCACAGATAGAAATAAAGTTTTTAACACAGTTTTTTTTTCCGTGGTTTACATTACTGATGCTCATTAAATAGATATTGTTTTTTTATACAGTAATAGTTAGGTAAATACTTTTTGAAATGACAATGGTAGAGTACACATTTTAATTTTAATTATTATTCAAGTTACCTAGTCCTAGTTAATACTCATTAGTGATGTGACAGATTATTAAGAATTTATATCTATGGATACAGATACAAATTGTGGATGATGATGATGATGGTTTATTTTGCATTATAGTAACACCTAATTAAAAATAACATTATTTAAATACATAAATGCTTTCAGTAAGTAAGTAATGAAACTAATTTATTGGAATATAGTTACTATGTAGCTATTAATAATATTGGTTGCCTGCTCCCATGATGGGGCAACACTTTGTGTGATTCAGAAATTGTTGTTCTGAGTCTGTATGTGTGTAAAGTAGTGTTTCAAAGACAGTTCCTGCACTAGAAATAGTCTTAAAAAAAATTGCACATCAGCCAGGGTAAATGGCCTTCTGTACTTAACATGATTGAGATCAGCAATCTCCAATGTAATGCAGACCTAGCCTGAGAATATTATTACTTCATACATACATAAATATGTAATGATAAAGTAATGGAAGAATTGCTTAGAGCTGGTTTACTGTCTGATCGTGGTATCACACCGGTGGATGGCATTCCCACGGCCACACCTTAGTTTGATGTGTCTTCATTAGATGTTTTCTATTTGAATGTGGAAGACACCACACTTCTAACGGTCTGACTGAAGGGCTTAGCTTTCCATTGACGTACATCGAGTTAGGGGTTGATATTTTTTTTTACAGAAATGTTACATTATTATAAGCATGCACGCAAAGTATCAACTTGCGGAGACTCATAGTTTTTCAGAAAAAAAAATATTTTTACAATATTTATGTCACTTCCTACCACAGATTAAATAGAATTCTCGCTATTGGTATTCGTCAATGGAAAGTCGTACCATATTTGAAGATGACAAGAAATGCCCGCGCGGCCTCGGGCCATTTTTATGCACTTTATATCAACTACGTTAAAGTTTATTTTCGAGTTTCTTTAAAAAAATCCTCTTGATCTGCGCTGGCCCTAAACAAAACTCATAGGTCAATTGGTTTTTAATTACGTATAATGTCGTATGAGTTCCATCTCGTTAGATAAAATGTATGTAGCCATGATGTCATTGGAGCATTTAATCTATTCATCAATTAGTCTATATATGTCGATGAGGGTAGATTAGTAGAACCGGAGTAATTTCACGGCCTCACAGAAAACCGGTGTTAGCCATATCTTTAATCTTTATCTTTTTAGTAGGCCGAAACCCCCTTTCTAAGGAGTCGTTTATGCCCAACAGTGGACTATTAAAGGCTGTTGATGATGAAGCATATCTTTCTTTGCTTTTCACCGATTGAGTGAGGTATTGATATTGGTTGTGGGCTCCGGGTTCCCCCTTTATACTTAAGAGCGGTCCTTTGTGTCGAGGACAGGTTGGCTAGGTGAACCAACCAAGCGCAGGAGTGATTTTGTATCAGGATTACGTTAGCGGCCGTTTCTTCTGCTTTC